CGGGTCTAGATCACTCCTTTTGCTCCTCTTGAACTTCTAATGAACCCCAAATGTCTCCAAAGCTTCCATGTGAAACTCCAATACCTAAAGGGGACTCATGTATGCAAAATGCAACCTAAACATGGCTAGAACCTAACCTACATGATGAAAAGATATGCAAAAGAGTAGATAAAACAATGCAATAATGCAAGACATCAAGCCACAGTGCTTAACTGCGCACTATGGGTTTTCTATGGCTTACCAATAGTCCATCCAGATAGTCTCCTTGTGATCACAATTAATGCCACTGGTCTTGCCATTGAACTCGTTTACCTTTCTATCTTCTTCTACTTTTCTCCCACCCCACGTAAGGTATAATATTATCCTGACATCTTTTTGTACTAATCTTTCTAACATATTTTTATCATTCGCTGAGCCAAAAATGTATTAACCGTATCAAATTATTGGATTTGGTTTTGTTTTCCATCTCGGTTCCAGTTCATTTGGAACATTTTGTTCCTAAAGATATAACAAGTACAATGAACGAAATACAACTAATTTGTTTTTATGTTTGAGATACTTGTTGACTAATTGTTATAATTATTATTTTTTTTAAAATATTTTGATCTGATTGTAAAACTATTTGGAAGCTTTTAAAATAATTTAAACGAGAGTGATACATAATTTTATTTTCGAGTTTTTGTTATGTATCAAATAACAAGATTTATATTGTGTAAGTCAATTCAGTTCTTGTCTTTTGGCTTGAATTGAACGCTAAAATGCTATAGCAACAAGCACTAGTCGACAATGATTGATTCTAGTTTCAGGATGGTGATAGACCAAACAAAGTTGATATAGGTAGTGACTGAAAGGTATTGTTAGCGTTAATGAAATGGAGTAAATGATTTTTTCTGCTCAGTTACGCCATTTATTGCCAGTCAAGTGAAATATCTTTTCTTCCTATTTCCTCTGATCACTATTCAAAAATAAGAAAACACACATACATTTTTACTCTAGCTCAAGGTAGAGTAAATTCATTTACTCTATTTTACTCTCTTTCTCATTTTTATTTTTCCTCTGATTTTCACTTCTTTATTTTACTCTTGTTTACTCCAAGTTTTCCAGTCACACCCATAGTATTATTCTGAATTGGTTTTATTAAATTAATTAATGATGCAGGTGAAAGTGGGGCTCTGGCTGATAGGAGAGATGGTATTTGTAGGAATAGTAGCCACATGCACATTGCTATTGTTCCACACGCATAACAAGAGATCTTCTTTTGTTGGAATCATTTGTGTCATTTTTGTTAGCCTCATGTATATTGCTCCTCTCACAATCATGGTACGATATTTTAATTTGCTCTTCTTTACGTAAACTTTTTTATATATATTATTTTACCTTTTATTATAATAAAAATATTTTTGTTGTGAATCAAACAGAGTAAGGTGATCAAGACCAAAAGTGTGAAGTACATGCCATTTTCTCTCTCACTTGCCAACTTTCTGAACGGAGTCATTTGGGTTATTTATGCCCTTATTAAATTCGACCTTTTCATTTTGGTAAGTCCTTTAATTTGTTCTAATACTATCATCATCTACTTATTAATTAGTAATACTTCATCATCTCTGTGCTTGTTATTAGATTGGAAATGGACTAGGAACAGTATCAGGAGCAGTACAACTTATACTTTATGCTTGTTATTACAAGACAACACCAAAAGATGATGAAGAAGAGGATAATCTTTCTAAGGCTAACTCTCAGTTACAACTCAGTGGCAACTAGGGACAAGCTAAAGGACTTTCAGCTTGATTCTATCTTGGATTAATCAAAAATTCAACCAGTTTTATGTACTTTCTTTTTTTAGGTATATAATTCTGGATGGTTTAACTTTAAGTATTAAGTAACGATACTGCATCTCATGTTTTATCTGTGAAGTTCAAACTCGTTTTACTTCTAAGAAAGATATGTTAACTATTACGACATGCTACAAATATATATATATCTGTGTATATGTTGAATTTTCATGAAAGTTGGATGAGTTAATATGCACAATTAGATGTAAGTAGTCCTAACCGTTAAAAAAAGAGAATTGTTATCTTCCCGCGGAAAATTGATGATACTTTGATTTCTTGGAAACTTGAAAGAAAATAATGCTTCCTTTTTATATTGCAAAATAAGTTGTGAATTCTTATTTTAAAGAAGGTTATAAATAGAGCTTGCAAAAAATCAAAATCTGAAATAATGAATCAAATCTTATCTGAAAAATAGTATTGAATCCCAACCGAAACTAATTAGATATCCGAACAGATTCAAAATTTGGTATTTAAAGAACAAAACTCAACTCAAACCAAAATATTTTGGGGATCCGAATATATCTGAATCAAATTTATATATTTAAATATATTAATTAATTTTAGATTTAATATCCAAAATATATATGGTATTTTGATGAAGTTATCTAAAATACTTGAAAATATATATAAATATTTTAAAATAAATAGTTAAAATAGTTAAAGAATATTCAAAACATCAAATATGTACGGAACACCACTCTTATATATAAATCACACTAATTTTGTTTACCTCAACGCATTTGTTTGGAAATAAATTCTATATGGCTGACACATATCTTGGATGTAGTAACCATACATTGCTATAACTTGGTACGTGTATTTGAGTTTAATATTTTCAAGAACTAAGTGGTCATAAAAAGATTGGTTAACTGATAATAGTTCAAATACATGAACGGTGTTTAAAAAAAAAAGGGTTCAAATACATGGACATGGATTATTGTGTTTTATGGATGGGTCATGAAAATGAAAAGACCAAGACAATTACTGGAAAGTTTGAAACAAAATAGAAACTTAACATTATTTATGAAAGTATAAAAATTTGCATAACTTCTTTCATATGGATTAAAATTCTAAAGCAAATATTACATACAAAATACAGTGATTAGTAATTAAGTTTAGCAAAAAAGTAATCTATACTATTAAAACACAAGGCCCTTTTTTGAGGTGCCCTTGGTTTTCAATAGTAATTACAGATTCATGCCACTGAATTATTTTTAGGGTATACTTTTGATTAAATATTTTCTTTTCTATTTTCGTAAATTTCAGTTATTTTGTGATCAAGTATTTAGTGGATATACATGAATATTCTACGTTATATTCGCGATACAAACAGAATTTTGATACTCCAAGAACTGTGAAACATAAGACTTACAAATCAAATATAGAAATAAAA